TATTGTCTGTTATTTCTTCTCTGAAAATAGTGAGGTGAACTCTAGTAGAGGGAGGGCCTTTTTTGTCTCCTCTACTTAACAGCAAGGGGGTGGGTTCCCCCTTGACTTTTTTAGGATTTTTTTTACCTTTACATTTTGAGTTTACTTATTTGCAGTTTTCCCCTCATTCAGCCTAGGAAGCTTCAACCTCTCTGATAAGTCGAAGGTAAGGGAAACTTTTTTTGTGTGGGAATTTTTTTAATGCCTCAAGAGCCAAAAATTGAAAAGCTCGCACTTAACAAACACAAAGCCAGCAACTGCTCTTAAAGCCCAACCTGGGGCATCACTACCTACAGGACCTCAGAACCAGGAAGCACTTCCGGGTTGGAGTCTCACAGCTGACAGCCTGCACTCTCATGAGAAACATTACCAGGAGCTACTATTTATCACCATGTGGCACCTGCAGTCTCCTTAGGAGGGCGTCTAGTGGCATGTTTGACACCTCTATTTCCATATTTTCCTAGCACAATTTCTTTGAGGGTAAGTAATCAGAATCGGCACCTTCTTCTATCAGTTTTCTATTTTTCAAGCTGTCCTGGGATCCTACACCTCTACCCAGCTGGGAAAAGGAAATTTCCCACGTCCTAGTTCACACACCTCATATGGATCTTTTTCCTCCCTCCTTTCCAGCAGGCACCGAGCATGTAATGTTTGATCATGTATAAACCTAATATGCTCTTGGGCTGTGTTCTTTGGCAGCTGTATTTAAGCCTCTCACACCATCTATATCACTGTTCATTGGTTTTTTCCAACTGGAGATCCACAAAAAGCATGAACTGTCTTTTTGTGACAGATTCTGCATAGTATGCGTCCTTTAGAATTCTATTTTATCATCGTCAATAAGCCTTAGAGCTGGGAGTGGCTGTAGGGCTCATTGGTGCAACTTCCTCCTGTTTTAGGTTAAGACAGTGAGGCCCAGAAAGGGGGAGTTCATTCACCAAGCATTTTTTGAGCATCTAGCATGTATTAGCTGCTGTGAGGGATACAAAGATATATCAGATGCAATCCCAGCCTTCTAGAAGCTTTCTGTCTAGTTACAGAAGTACTAGTTCCTCTGTACTAGTACAGAGGAAGAACAGAGTAAGTTCATATAAACTGCTAAAGTGGTGCAAAGGAAGGGAGGGGGAAGGTCTTTTGGAAAGACCAGTGGCATTACCATGAAAGATGCCACTGAAGCTGAAAGTTGAAGGGTTCCATAGAGATCAGGACTGGAAACATTCCAGACAGAGGCTTTGCTCACAGGTTAAAAGGCAAGTCTAGATTGGTTTATAGAGAAACATAGAGTAAGTAATATGGAAAAGCAGATCAGGGCCTGCGGAGTGTGTTCAGTATATCCCTCCTCCACAACCCAGACTCCTGTCACCAAGCTGGCCCTGCTGAACTTATAGCTCTAACCTGAATGCCACCTTCTCAGAGAAGTCTTCCCTGGACACCGTCTCTAAGCAGGAACCTTCTCTATATTACTCTCTATTGCCGCATCCTATTTAGTTCTTTCACAGCATTTAGTATAACATGTAATTATATACTTAGTTACTTGTTTTTTGCCCTCTCCCCACTAGACTAGAAGCTCCTTGAGGGCAGGGACTGTCTTCCTTTGATTTGCCATTGTTTTTCCAGCACCAAGCACAAGGCCTCTCATTAGGAGCTCGCTGGTCATGGCTCTTCTTATTGTGAGGGTAGTGGCAGTGATAATGAAAACAAAGCACTAAATTGAATGGACACCATAAAGAATCAAATTTCAGTAGGAGATTGGATATGATAACCAAAGGAGAGAAATCAGATTTTGAGCCTAGGTAACTAGGAAACTGCTGGCATTTAGGATGGGGGAGAAGAGTGAAGGAGTCTTACTTGAAGCCAAAATGCTCCAGGGAGGAATGGAGTCACAAGGAGTGGGGGGTGCACATCTTTCTGTGATGCTGAGAGAGGAGTCTTTGAAAATCATTTTTGGGAGGTCCTAGCTGACCCTGAGAGCTTTTGGTTACCTGATAAACTTGCACTGAACCAATGAATGGTCAGTAAGATGGAGCAGAATTGGAGATTGTTCAGTTCCTGGTAAGAAGACAGCAGAGTGAAAAGAAAGGGAGCTAAAGAAGAGGAAGCAGTTGGAAATGAAAAGGAGTCCTAATTGACAGAGCAAGATCAGATAAGAAGTAGCAGGGACTCCAGAACAGAAGTTCTCCACAAAACAGAAAACAAACTTCACATTCACCACAGGTTTGGGCCTCATCAAATCTCTTCCCTCCAAGCTTGAAGGGAGGATGGTTGTGGCAACAGGAAGGCCAGTCTCAGGAGAACATCCTCTTGCATATGCTCTTCACTACCAGCAGGCAGGTCTGAATCTTTCTTCTCAAACCACCCACTTTCCAGTCCTCTGACCTGTACTAGATAGATGCTTCTGAGAGTGCCAGGATGGACAGGACGCAGAGGGACTCCATTAGGTCTAACACATAAACCACCAGTGAGTGGGTATCAATCTGATGCTGCAGATAAAATCTAGTGAGGGCTTCACTGCTGAACAGAATATCCTCTGTGGCAACTCTTGCTACTAAGACCACATTGGTTCCACAAGAGTCAAGGTACATGGGGTGGGGGATAGGGAGGGGGCACACCAGTTCTGCTATGTCTGGGAAGTGATGAAGAAGAAAGACTTTTTGAGGAAATTGGAATTTTAGCTTCACAATGTTACCTGCAGTAATAGAAATCATAGAGGTGCCACGGAACTGACTGAATGAATAAGAGGATTAGTGGCATCGAGGTCACGAAATCCTAGGTGGGAACACAGATAAAGGACAAAACATGGGAGCAACTGAGGCAAGCGCACTGGGCACCTAGGCGAGCATCTCCTGTGGGCACTTGCTCCTGGGGTTACCTTGAGAAAGCTAAGGCTCTCTCAGCAGCCAGTCTGACACCATGGACCTCCAGTGGCTGGCACCAGGCAAGTACTGTCCCTGTGGAGAGGGCTCCATCGTCCTTTAACACTAGCATTTGTGCTCAAGGAGCCCAATGTCCCTTTTCAGTCCCTTCCTTTTTTGCTTGACTTTGACCCACTCAGGACACTCTCCCTCTCGTCTCTGCCCAGTCCTGCAGCTCAGCCCCCACTTTCCTCTGTATCTGACGGATTAGCTTCATCTTTGAGCATTAACTTCCACACTTGTTTTGGGTAAAGATTCTGCTTTCATTAGCTAATTTCTTGAACCACTTTCACCTTAAGATAAAGTTGGTCATTTGTATCTGTATTTTACGTAGTCACGAGATCATCCTAGGAATGTTTTACGGTCTGTTAAATGAAGAACCCAGGGCCTGACTGGCTGTGTTGTCAGCAGCAAAGCCTGGGAGAGAACGGTGTTGCCTCCCTGTGGAGATGGTGGCGGTGGAGCTCAGGGTCGGGGTGTCCACCTCTGCTCTTCCCAACTTGCTCAGCATCTTCCCACTGGGGCTGCGTTTTCTCCAGCTACACCACCTCCAGGAGGGACAGCAGCTGTGGAGCCAGCGTCTCAGCACAGCGGGATCAGAGGCCAGCTCTCTGTACCATTTGCACTTAGGAGCCAGATTTCCTTAAAACCCCACAGAGTGCTTTGGGGACTTCTTTTTGTCAGGCTGCCTTCTGGTGAATGAGAGAATGTGTGAAAAGAAGCACCCTGCAAACTGCCACGTGCCCCAAACAGCTAAGGAGTCATCCCCACTGCAGTTCAGCTCCCACACAGTCATCGCTCTAGACTTGAATCACAGCAGGATGACCTCAGGCTTCTGCACGCGAGCTGCAGGGACATCAGCCAAGTCACAGACACCTGCTCCAAGTGCTCCTCCTCTCAGCAGAGGGCTGCCAGAATGACTGACACCCTGCTCTGCAACCTGGTCCCATCTCACCCTTGGTTCCCCTGCATAGTAACACTTTCTGGTAGCTGGGTTTGCTTACCGTATTTATTACTCGGATTTCTGCTGCTCCCTTGGCTCCTGCTTTCTCTAACAAATGTCTGTGCTGCAGTAGACACCTCCTGTCTTGTGTACCTTTGGCATTTTGCCCCAAAGAACGCGGATGCCCTCCACACACACCTGGCCAGCAGTACTGGAGGCAGTGTTTGGGGGCGGGGATAGAAGACTGAGTGTACAGCCTTCACAAAGGAACTGTTACAACCACAGGAGTCTAAAGCCATCCAGAGGAAAACCTGACTTGGGCAGCTGATGGTCACTAGGGAGAGAGCCTTTTGGCCCCCAAAGTTTTGGGGAATTTTTCCCACTGCTCTGCCCCACCATCCCCTCTCAACTACTTCAAGAAGGCCTCTGAGCCACAGTTCATCGCAACTATCATTTATTAAAAAATATATGTCTCCTTGGAAGGAACACTGGTCAACCAACTAGTGTCATGCTTGCTTTGAATCTCTGCTTTTCTTCCCTGGGAGGGGTAGAGGGTTGAGCATCATTCAGACTACATCACTTCACATCAGAGAAATCAACAACATTCCCAGCTTACCCCCTCCTCACCAGAGTCATCATCGGCCACCACTTCACCCCTCCTGCCTTCAATCCAGTGCACTGCCCAGGGAAAGCTGCCACCCTTTCTTCACCCACACTCTCCCCCCCAGACTTTACACTTAGCCTTGTCATGTTGGTAGGAGAACTGTTAACAGATTCCCTAAGTTTGGATGGTAGCACTCAAAGCATCTTCAACATGTGTCGTTTGCAGTGGTTGTGACACAGCGGGCTAGGAAACAACAGACTCAACCCTAGGGTTGAGCATATCCACTCTCTTCTCCCCTGTGTTGTGCCTCCAGTGTGGAGCTGAGAGAGGCATGGTGGCTTCAAAGGAGCACAGTAGGGTGGCATGGGGCCTGAGCCATACCTGCCACCTGCATTTGTGGTCAGAGAAGAAAAGCCCCTTGACCACAATCACTGCCGTATGACTCTGGGAAAAAGCAACAAAGCTTCACATCTCAACAGTAAGTGAATCTTAGCTATATAGCTCAAACTGACAGCATTAAAAGTCTACTTTCTTCTTGAGGAAACAGTAAGCTACCAGCTTTTACTGAGGGGGTGGGGTAGGTAGGGCATATGAAGCAGCTGTGGAAAAAACCCAAATCAAACTTCTCATCACGCGGCTGGCCAAGCTCAGGGCTCTCCCACTGTCCCAGCACAGGGCTGGACAGCAAGTGACTCCCCACCCCTGCCAGTGGGCCCCATGACAGGGCCTCAGCTGAGCCCAGCACATCCCTGGCAGGTGAGCGAAGGGACACATTACAATAGGAGCCCTGGCTCCTGTCAGTTCTCACCTGCTCCCCCTTCTGCTGATGGGACAGCCCAACCCGGGTCACGTAGTCTATCACAAGGTCCGGCTCTTCCAGAACATTATGAGTCTTTAGAACACAGTCAAATTGGATTCTACGCATTCACTTAAATAGTAAAAGTAAAATTTGGAAGAATGAAAAGGCTGACACAGTAGCACAACATGGTTTTGGTTTAACAGCAGCTTAAAAATGAACAAAAAGGAAACCTCTCATGCAGACACATCAGGTGGCATAAAACAATCGGCAATTTAATATGGCGGGAGCACCGTTAGCCATTCTCTGGCTCCCCACACGTGGGCCTGACTTGCCCCGAGGGCAGCATCGGCTCTAGGGTCATGGCTCCAAGCATCTGACCCCCGGGCAAAAGCCCTTTCTTACTGTCCTCTGGCTGATCCCTCCTAGAGAAAAGCCTAGCTCTCAAGAGAATGACCAATGTGGGTGCCCTCAGTCCAGCACTTACTACCACTTTCACTTCGTCCCCAACCAGTTGGGATATAAGATGCCATCTGATTAGAATATGAAAATTAAAGCATTTCTCTAATAACACAGTACCATTGATGAAGTCTCCATAGATTTTCTAGTCCAAATGCGTGTGAATATATATATATATTATATGAGAGAGTATAATATATATATATAATAATTTCTATATATTTTATATAAATTACATATATATATCTATATATAAATAAGATACTTTCTGTCGCCATGACGCCGCGCTGTCCTGAGCCGCAAGGCCACATACAGATCGTAGCAAAGCCTGGGAGCCTCTCCTCATGTGGTGTGAAGGGCTCACTTCACAAGCCGCGCAGCTGTCCAGTCTGTCTTTCCATCAGTCCTCCTCTCTTCTCTTCTGCTTGGTTTTTATGAAAACAATGAATCTGATGGATTTGCACCTGTGCTAGTGCTTGGGAAAGGTTCATGCAGGAATGGGCACAGTCACATGATGAGTGAGATGGCATCATCCCAAAAATTAAACTGAAACAAAACAAAAATTTAAAAAAACAGAACAGGACTAGAAAACTTAATTTTTGGACATATCTAAAAAAGGGGACAAGAACAGTAGTCATTTGTTCTCCCCGTGGGGACAGGAATGAAGAGGAAGGAGGGAAGAGGGACTTGATTTCTTCTGCTCACAAGAGAATGGTTGGAGGGGATTCTTCAGAGTTTTTCAGGGGATGGGACCCAAATGTAGTGCCCAGACTGGTCCTCAATGATTTGTTTGATTTTGTTATAAATCTCTTCCAGTGAGTCACCCTGTACAATGGCTGAAAAGGAAAACAGAATTATTATTATGGTCCACAGCAACCCCTCAAACCCTGAGAGTCTGGTCCATCCCAACCAGCCCACAGTTCAGCCCAGCTTGTTCACTAGGTGGCAGTCCAAGAGCCTGGGACAGTGGGGAAACTAGCAGGCACTCAAGGCCCAGGGCTTGAAGTCAACTTGCTGAGACAGTGACACTGGTGGCAATGAGTAGGAAAATGTGTTGCATAAAAAAATGTTTACTGAGCACCCATTAGATGCCAGACCTTGCAGTTCGTACTGCTCTTGGCTGCCATAAGGCCAGCAGCCGGCAATTCTGATGCAGCCTCATGGAGGATTTGGAAAATCCTGGTTATCCAGAGCAGGAGTTGCAAGTCACAATTTCTGGCAACATGCAGTGCTCCTGGGGCCATCACATCTGCATTATGTCAGAGGTCAGCCCAGCAAACAAGGACACAGTTGCTAACAGAAAAGGGAGCTCCAGTATCCAAGGTACACAAGAACAGTTATGAATCCTGTGGCCAGCTAACCTTGTAGCATCACCAGCTAGAGTTTACTCAGCACCAACCTGCACACATAGGTCACCATACTTCAAAAGGTAAGCAACATATTACACAGAAACCTTCCCAACCTTTAAGGAACTGCCCTTCTAAAGTAGGTGACCATATAAACATGCACACATGTGTGTGCACACACTGACAGAGAACCTGAACACCACACCAGGGAATCATCATCATCAACAAACGTTCACTCAGCATGTATAACATGAAGGTGGCCATTGCTGGATGGGGGAGCCTGGGTGGGGAGGGAAACAAACTAAAACAGGGAGCTACAATCTAGGAAGACATGAAGACAGAATGTACAAAACAATCAAAGCATTTGGTGATGAGGTTGAAACTATAAACTGGCTAAACTACTCCGGCTGGAGGGTACTCGAGTACTTTGGAAATGCTTGAGCTCCAAAGCAGCCAGAAACTGTGCCAGGCGTCTAGGCCTCTTGGAAAAACCTCACAGAATAGGTGTCTGCCTGCTCCCACATTACCCCAGCTGCACAATGGGGAGACTTACCTGTGAAGTATTCTCCAAACTCCTGCTCCAGTTTCATGGCTTTGTCATAGATCTTATTTGCTTGTTCATATGTCTGCCTTCGGTTCATTTCCCTTCCAAAGATACAGAAGAACATAGTACCAAACTAGGCTCTATGTTTTGATTAACATAAAGGGTTGCTCCAGGCTCCCTGGAAAGCTGCTTAGCTGCCCTCCAAGAGCAGTAGTGGCCCAAGGCTCAACATCTTCCCCAAACTTCTAGGTCTGAAAGCTCAACTAGGGGTACAAGCATGAGGACACAAATTCAAAGGAGCCCCCAGTGAACAGAGAAGGACACAGACTTTCCACTGAGTACCCACTGGGTCTTACCCCTGCCCAACAAACCACTTGATTTTTATTGCCTTTCCAGAGCCCTCTTCTAGCTGAGAATCTCAGCAAATACTTACATAAGCGCTTCAATGGACTTGGGCTTGATGAAAATGGCAATGGGGTAAAGTTGCGACTGCTGCAGCCTCTTGATAGCATTGCCAGAAACATCTAATATGCAGTGCTTGCCCTGAAAAAGAAAGGATTGTCATCAGTCCACCTAGTCCCTATCTACCCATGATGCTGACCCCAACATCCACCTGTGGGAAATGTGGGGCCACCTAGAGAGGCCTGGAAGATTCTACCTCTGAGGTACCCAGGCTCCACATTTGGCTCCTACTATCCAGAAAAGGCCACATCTGTAGATGCAAGCAGGGTGATGCTCTGGGGTGAGTTGCACAGAGGAGAGAGACATCTCCAACCAGGGGCTGGGAACATGCAGAACGGGCACAGCTTTGGTCAGCACTGCCACTGGCTAGGCTATGTGCTGGAAGGACAAGGATCCATGCGGCACTCTGGCAGGACCATTTCTGTGCTCCCTTCGAGAGTAATTTTGTAGGGTGACTTCTCTCCTTACCCTCTCTGCAACTGCCCTCACTGACTGGATGCTGGTCCCATAGAGATTGTCGTTGAACTGGCCTGCCTCAATGAACTTGTTGTCCTGAATATCCTTCTCCATCTGTTCTCGGGAGACCACAAAGTGGTAGTCTTGCCCATCCACCTCATTATCACGCCGAGGCCGGGTAGTATCTGCAGGAAGACAGGAAATGCTCTGTGGCACAAGGACAGTGTCCTACCTCAAGCCACCGAGGGCTGACTTGTTTCCCCCCGCTGCAGGGCCCCCGAGTCACTCCAGATGAATGAGGGAAAGAGGCTGGGAAGAAGTTTATCTTGCCTATATCTCTTCTAATCACCAGGTTTCACACACACAAGGAGCTATCTGCTTTAGCTTCAACTGGACCAGAAAGATGGGGTTTCCTGGGCCAAGATCTGGCAGAGAGATGGTGAAAAACGTGGTACAGGACCCAGCAAGCCTAACAAGCTGTCCCAGCTTTGGAGGAATATATGGCTGCCTAATTTCTTCTGGGGGGTTGGATGCACCCTATTCCCAGAGACACCTAGAACCCAGCCGCAGGCCCTCTTTATAAAACATGAGAGCAACAATAATTCCCAGGGCACCAATGCCTCCCTCCCAAAGACACCCTGGGCTCTCACGTGGTACACAGGATCCAAATTTATGTGGAAACTCCGAAATTAGGTCATCGTTGACTCTGTCCTTCATGGGGCCCAGGATGATGACAGGCCTTGCATAGTGAACTGGAGAGCGAGCATGGATACAGTCAGTGAGGCCCTCACCAGACGGCCTGACCTCCCTCCTTGTCTGCCTAGAGCAATGAGGTGCTGGAGCCACTGCTCAAACAGAGCAGCACATCTTCAACCATTTTGCCTTTTAACTACAAAGACATCAAAGAGCCTTTAATTTGAGAATATCTAAGTCCAAGGCAAGTATGAAATCAGAAGCATCTCCCTTTCCGACAGATTCAGGAGAAATCTGTGCATGGGCACCAACAGCTGAGCAAGGTTTTTCAGAGCAGCCATTGAAGAGAGGGACCAGAGCCTCTCTTTTAGCAGCGGCCACACACCCACTGAAATTGACCTTCACCATCATTCGTCAATCTCTCCTCTGTCTCCATGGCCAACCACTGGTTTGGGTCCCATGACTACCAGATTAGCTCAAAGGCAAGACTCTCAGAAGGGGGCTTACTTTCTTGCCGTGTCACTGGCTCATATGACAGAATAGCATCCTCCTGTCCTTCTGCAACAAAAATTAAAGACATGTTAGCACTTTATAATCTGCCTCCTTGTATCCTCATCTCCCTACAACATTCACTGCACCCCAACCTCTACCTGAAAACAGCCTTGTCAACTGGTTCTTGCTAACAACTGTGCTGTGGGCCTGTCTACTGCCCACTGGAATGAAAGCACAGGAAACCATTCATCACCTCTAAGACAGGAGTCAGGAGTCCTCTTGTTCAGCAAAATATAGCTGAGCAAAGGAACATGACCCAGAAGCCATTAAACCTCCACCAAAAACCACCCCAATGTCCCAGAACTCTTCTTATAGGTAACAGCTCTGCTCAGTTGCCCTCTTGCTTCAGAAAGAATCACAGGAAAAGCTTCAAGTGATGGAGACACACTGCCTGTGTCCCTCATCTGCAGGCAAGGGAGTCAGGGCACTCGTGCAGGTCCCCAAAGCTGCAGCTGAACTTTACCCTTTTTAGGGTCTGACTATTTCCCTACACTGGAAGAAGCACCCAGAAAAGTGGCACAAGGTTGGGCTAAGGTCCCCAGTGCCCTTTAAGAGCAGTACTGAGCCCTGCTCATCCCACACAGGAGAGCTCCGTCTATCCTAGCAATGATGAAGGCTCCCTAAGACAGTCACCAAGCAACTTGGTACTGGGTACTGCTGCTGCTGCTGCTGCTAAGTTGCTTCAGTTGTGTCCGACTCTGTGTGACCCCATGGACGGCAGCCCACCAGGCTCCTCCATCCCTGGGATTCTCCAGGCAAGAACACTGGAGTGGGTTGCCATTTCTCTCTCCAGTGCATGAAAGTGAAAAGTGAAAGTTATGTTGCTCAGTCATATCCGACTCTTAGCGACCCCATGGACTGCACTCTACCAGGCTCCTCTGTCCATGGGATCTTCCAGGCAAGAGTACTGGAGTGGGTTGCCATTGCCTTCTCCAGGTACTGGGTACTAGGAGGTCTCAAAGTGACCGATGGCAGTGCTAGGGAAGGCAGCGATACTTGCATCAAGCCCTGGAATGCATTCTCAGGGCCTCTAGCTACAACTCCTAAAAGGCCAGTAGTCCCAAACTTCATGGGGTTTGAATTGTGGCTTCTCTGGCCCGTTCACAGGATTTCTGAAGGAAACCTGAGCTGTCACCTGGTCATTTAGCCCAGCAAAAAGGCAAAGACACCAAGCTGTCACCCAGGAGGTACTAGTGACCTGGAAAGGCAATTCAGGACAATATCCCCCAGGAACCATTCTCCTTTTGGTCTCTGAGTAAATATGTGAAACTGGCAGCACCTACAGCCCCAAGTGCCTACAGTAGGGATGCTTCTAAGTCAAGTCCTGGCCAGAAGTGCAGAGCATATATTCTATCCTTTAATCCACAGCCTAAACCCCATCCCACAGGGACAAAATGGCCACAGCATTTCCAGGATCTCCAAGTGTACATGGCTAAAAGAAGCACTAGCCTCTGAACAGATATGGCAGCCATGCAATGCTGGAATGACGATGGCTGGGCTATGTGGTAGAGCTACATGACATGGGGAAGAATGACACACACTTACTGGAACTGCTTTCGCTGTCACTGGTGTTGGATGTCACTCCCTCTGCAAGCCAACAAGAAAGAGACTCTGATTCAGAACACACCACTGAGAGGTCACACGCCGCACAAAACTCAAATGCTCCAAGAGCCGGACGCTGAGCTGCCAACCAAGCCAGGTCACGGGAGGCCTGCCACATCAGGCTACCAGCTGGGAGGTGCAACTCCAATCCTGAGACCCTGGCCACCGCACACTTGTCCCCAGGGTGCTTTCAGTCTTCCAAGGCCCTCCATTATAGACTACCAGCTTCCATTCTTCATCTGAATCAAGAGAACTGACTTGGACGGTTTCCAAATACTATCTCAGAATGCATCTCCCAATGCTATCAATAGGAAAGGAAAGGCAGTGATAGTAGCAAAGAGGAGCCCAGTGAGCAGGCTGCTCTTGAATTTCCTCCCCAGATAGAACCCCTGAAGAACAGAATTGTGTGGTGCTTCAGGACTAGGAGGCTAAGCACTGGGCTGGGTGAACAGTCACCAGGGAATGACATGTTGGCCATCTGGTGGAACCAACAGCCCTCCTGCAATCGCTACCCAGAAGGAGGGCTCAGTCTCAGTGGTGAAAGGGGATGCTCCTCCATCCATGAAAAGACGACAAAACAGAGACAACAAATGAAGAAGAATACATGGAAGACAAGATGATCCTCCTGTCTTAGACTGTTGGGACCCACCCATATCCGAGTGGGCAGAGCAATCATACTCACAGGAGGCGCAAAGCAGAGTTTGGCCCAAACAAAATGCACTACTCCCAAGATGACAGCAAATGAAGATGAAACATGAACAAAACAAACTATGGAGTGAGGCATTGCTCGTTTCAGCCAAGATGACACTGTTCCAGACTGTGATATGCTGTGGCCCCGAGGAAAGACTGGCTGAGTCACCACCCATGCTAGTTCCTGAGTAACCCACGGAGGAAGCACCTTTACCCTCATGCCTTTATTATTCATGGAAGGAGAGTATCTGCTGACAGAACCCGCCGGGCATGGCCACATGTGTGCACACACGCACCTGTGTGCACAGCAGGGAGGATAAGGCCCTGTCATCTAGGTCCCTTCTTTTTTCAACTCTAAGATTATTTTCCAGAGGTGAGAGGATGGTCAGAGTTCTCCAAACTAAAGCACTAATATACATAGTCCATAAAACGCTCTTGAGACCCCCCACCCACTCAGCCCCTTAGAGACGCTCTGGAGAGCCAGCCCGCACCATCTGCTGAGGGCCCTGAACCTGCTGGGACATCCCAGATGTTTGCTGGGTAAAGGGCTTCACAGCACTATCACCCCCTGTTTAGACAAACTAAAACAGCTAAATCTTAAGCCCAATTCTTTAGGGCTGTGTCACTGGGAGAAGAATACAGCCGGCAGGCACCCCTCACCTCAACAACAGGCTAAAGATGAGCTGAGTGGTCACCCCTGGAGAAGCACTTGCTGCCCCCCTCACTTGTAAGGTGGAATGCCAAGGCAGCTCCACACCATTTCAAGGTACAAAAGGAAAAAACAGACATGAATGATAGGCTTTTATTATGGTACCAGGGATCCAGAGCAAAAGTGTGACATTCAGAGCCACTTCTACTTCCTCCTGTGGTGGTTTCCATTCTCACAAACTCTCTCACTGCCATCCCCTCCACCCAACCCCACGTCCCTTATACCCCCAACCCCAGCATCTCCACTCATGCCAGAAATACAGTTAACAGTATGTAAGTTTGACTTACTCAGGTTCTTTGCTCCATAATAATCGTCACTTAACCCAGGGAAGTCCTAATTTCACAGACAGCAGAACAAAGAGGGAGGGAGGGAAGAAGGGAGGGAGGGCAGGAAAGAATTGGGGAGACGAAAGAAAACAGAGAAAAAAGACAAGGGGAAGGAAGAATACAGAGCCAGGTGAGCATCAGTGACAGAAGTATGAAATACTATGAAGACCTATAGCTACAGTGAGGTTAAGAACTTTGCTACAGGAAGAACTTCCCGGGTTAGATAAAATGCCTGGACTTCATGCTGCCCAATTTGCTGCCAGATGGCCTTGGAGTGAATGACCTCTTTAAGGTGTTCTAGAGCCTACACAGGCTGACAAGACAGACAGGTGACTTACCAAGGCTTGGAGTACCTGCTTTGACTAAATTTGTAGTTACAGAGCCATTTCTGCTTTGCCCCTGAAATCATCGTTTCCCTTTGAAGGTGAATGAAAAATCAAACATCTATGTGTGGCAGAGAGGCAGGTACAATTATCATCATCCCAAGGAGCTTCCCAATACTGACTTGCTCTGTCCAAACCCTTCAGGGAAAGCTTCATGCAGTCTGAGGTGTGGCCTTCCAAGCTGACATGAGTTGTGCAGACCACAGGGGATGAGCTCAGCTTCTGAAGAATAAGCACTAGGCAGTTTCAACTCTTATCTGACAGCCAATTCCCTCCCCCATTCAGCTAGGCCACTCAACAGTGAACTCTCCTAGGTTGGGCTCAGTGGGTAACTTTTGGAATTTGTCTGGTGAACTGTGGTGACCTCACCTCAGGTCTCTATCTCAGATCGCCTTCTTATTGAGCTCCCCAGGACTGTGAGCCCTAACCTCCATCATGACCAGGGCACCCTTGTAATCTACCAGCTACCACCCCAGACCCACGTATCCCATGACCACGAAACACGCTGGCCTAGAAAAAGGACATTCCCTTCCAGAACTAGGTTCCTGCTGTCCCAACAGCCCAGGACAGAGGTTTAAAATTCACCATGAGCCACATGAGAAATATTTCAACAGCCTGACCTGGTGTTTAAGGTTAGGGTGAGAGCAGCTAATTTCTGAGGTATATGGCAGAAAAAGAATATTTCTCAGCGTTGCAAATTAACTTAGCCCAGCTTTATGGCCTTTTCTACCAAACCAGTTTTGCATTTCTTCAATAAACCTTTATTTGGACAGTGTTAAGTAATTCCTGTTTGGTATCAATTCCTTTTAGCAAGAAGGATTTTATTTTGAAAGCTGGCTCTGTAATCACTCAGGGAAGACAGTTGAGTCTGTTAGAGCCATGTGAACATTCTGTGTGCAAATGCACATGCATGTAATTCAAGAACTAGGCCCAACTCCGGGTGTCCAGATAAGAAAAGGCTCTTCTCTTGACATAGATGAGCAAAGATAAGGGAAAGAAATCACAAGCGAAAGAAGCCGGGAGAGCAACACTGAGTCCCTAGACTTGATTCTCTTGAAAAAACATTTTCTAAACTTGACACAGTAGCTGGTAACTGCTCATCAGCACCAGAGCAGAGCTCAGCCTGGCACTCCCAACACTAGTGGTGCCGGGACTTCCCACTGAGCCCCCCTGCAATCACTTCTACCTCAGAGCCTCCAACATCCTTTCAGAAGGAAGAGTTGGACAAAAAAGACCCAACGTCGCCCTATACAGACCAATTTCTACCCTGACTCTGCAAATACGCAGGTACACACACACATAAAAACATGCATGCACACAATGGACGGATGGACACGCGTGTGTGTGTGCGCACAAACACACACACAAAACACACTTGCCCAGTCTTCAGTGCAACTGAGGCAGAGAGGGTGGGGCTGTGGGTGATCTGCTCTCTGTTCCCTGCTGCTACTTACGTTCCTGTCCGCTGCTCTCCTGGGCCATGTTTTCTTTGCTCTTGTAAAATGGAAACTTTCGAGAGAGGCGGAAACTCTTTTTACGTTTCGTTTTGATCGACTGTGAAAGAACATGAAGATGGAGGGGAAGGACAGAAGAAAAAAAAAACAGAACAATGGATTTTAAAGCATGCAAGAAAAACTAAAATGGAGACAAATGGTGAGCTAAATAAAAGACCACCTCTCACAAATGGAATCTATGAGATTAAATGAAAGTTGATGTAAGAGGAAAAATTATGTTTACAGGAAAATGTTGTACGGATGTTAGAGGTTTCTACCTAATCCAGACTCACAGCACTCACTGGTACATCCTAAATGACAAAGGTCACTGTAGCCTCCTGGATACATTCCCTAAGGTGCCACTGATAAACAAAGAGCCATCTACTCCATGTCTCTCTTCCCTCTACTGCTCCGGAAGTTCTTTGGCCTGTGAAGCTCACAGAAGAAAAGGGGTGAATGGATAGAGCCCTCATGCTTTGTTTGGTCTGGAGGGTAGTCGGAGCTCTGAGGCTGGCCTTCCTGGCTGGATGATGAAGCCAGACTCTATTTAGGGTCCCCACAGCTCCGAAAGGGTCTACAGCCAGGGAGACACCCACAAATGGTTTCATATGCCCCAAGAAAGACAGCCTTCCAGACAGTGCAGCTCCAACACATCTTCAGGAACCAGTTACCCAGCTGAGAGGAGTAACCCTGGCTGTAGAGTTTGGATGCCCCCTTTCTCTGCTTTCTGAAAAGCAGTCAGTGTTCTGATAGGACAGAGGCAGCACCCTGAAAAAGAGATATTCTTTTGTGCTCCCCAGTTCTCTTATCCACCAAACAGATTTCAAGTTTCTTATGCCTCTTTACATATGGCTGACTTCCTTGGGGATCCCCACTTACCCTGTTAGATTCAATCATCCCCGTCCTGGCATGAAACTTCACGGTTTTCAATCGAGCCCTTTCTTTCTTTTCCACCCTGTGTGGGAGTGAGAAAGAAGTCCTATTACTGCCAGTGCATGGTCTCAGCAGCCATCTTTGGCTCACTGAATCATAATCATGTCCTGAGCACCAATTCAACACCAAAAAGTAGTAATAAAGCACATCTACTGCTCTCAAGCACTTATAGTATAATAGGTAAAAAAGAAATACCAGGAAGAGGGTAAAGAAAGCCTCTCTCATGATTATGACAACTCACCTCTTCTTACTGGGGATCACACCGATTTGCTCACTTTCTCCATGTGGGGTCACCAGTCTCGCCTGCCACCACTCATCATCAGATGCATTAATGACGTGTAGAATGTCACCATAGGAGAAGCTGAGGCCTTGGCTTGGCAGGCAGCTGTCCCGAGTCCGGTCATAATCAAACAAGGCTCTGGAAATGAAGTAAAAGATGAAGTTGTTGTCTCAACCTTGGATGGAAGGGTGGTGGAGGATGGTGGAGGAAGGCCAACCCAAAGAGTCAGCACAGACCCAGCAGCCTTATAGCAGACAGGAAGGAATCCTGTGGGAGACTGCATCCTTCTTTCAGTCTGGACAATGTAAATATTCTATTCTCCCAACAAGGTACATAAGGGAAAAAAAATCTTTCATGACTCCCATCTCCTCCGAGCTTCTGGACATGAAGTGAAAGTCCAAAGCAGAACACCCTTGCTGGTCTTCTCCCTCAGATGCATCCTCCAGAAACAATTTAGCTCTGCCAATGGGCTGTCTCAGTTTACAACAAATCTTCAAAAATTACTTGAAAATAGGACATAAATGTTAACTACAATCCCAAACAATGAATGGTAAATGCTGTAGAAATACAAAAGAGAAAAAGGCCCTGGGTTCTGTGGCAACAAATCTAAGGCTGATGTTGACCCACACAATGATAAACTTGACAGGGTCTGTATAAATAAGTCTCCCAATTCAATTTCTTTCTCTCTCTCTCTCTCATGTATAGGAAAATGAAGGCTCAAGGAAGAATAATTTGACTGAGATCACACACCAAACTAATCTGGGATAGAACCCAAGTCCTCTGACAAGACATGTGGAATAAAGATTAAATGGGAAGGTAGGAGAAGGTGGGAAGAGAGCTATACCATCTAAGCTTGAAAAAAAAAAAAGGTGGAGACCAGCTAGGTTGTAGGTGAGTGTTATGGAAAATGAGGTTGGAAATAAAGATCTGGGGCAAATTTTGGAAGGCCTTGAACAGACCTGATCCAGTGACCTCTGAAGATTTGGGAGTAAGGAAGTGACACGTCAAAAGAGCCTTAAAAACATTAATCTGACCTCATATATGATCACATACTGGGAAAGGGGGTAGATTTGAAGGCAAACTTAAACCAAAGCTACAAGCTCAATCCTTTAGGACACACTGCTGACTCCTGCTCTGGAGAAGCTGGTACTTGACAGCAGAGCTCCCCTGCTCAGGGAACAAATCCATCTACATGAAAATATCTACTTTTCTCCTCCTCTGGATCTCTCCTCATATGGAGTCACCACAAACGGGTGAGTGAGAAGTTTGTATTTTTCTACTTGCAATCTAGGCTGTCTTCATATTCTCTGTTAACATATTTACACACACAGCCGAGCAGAGTTCCCAGAACTAGTTCCAAGACTTAGACTTCTACCTGCAGTGTGGTGGTATGTGGCTCAGCTGGAAGCTGCAAAGTAAAACATACTATTTCCCCATGTGCAGGCCAGCCCAAATGAAATGGAGAAGGTTGTAAAACTGTGGAGTGTGAAATACTGTTGTTGCTGTTTAGTCACTAAGTCATGTCCAAATCTCTTGCATCCCCATGGACAGTAGCCTGCCAACTTCTTAAAATGCAATCCTTAAGAAATCACTGTCAGATTATTTGAAAATGAAAATACCCGAACTTTAGAGGACCTTTGTATGTGTGTGCTCAGTCATGTCCAACTCTTTGCGACCCCATGGACTGTAGCCCACCAGGCTCCCCTGTCCATGAAATTTTCCAGGCAAAAATACTGGAGGGGGCTGCCATTCCCTTCTCCAGGGAATCTTCCTGGCTCAGGGATTGAACCCAGGTCTCCTGAATTGCAGGCAGATTCTTTACCACTGAGCCACCAGTGAAGCTCTCAGAAGACCTTTATCTCCCTCAATTTACACACTCAAAGCAATAAGGAGAGAGGTCAAGGTCAGCAGGTTAAGGAGGCACTCCATCCCTGAGGTTCTTTCTGGGCTTTGTGTGACAGAATCAAATCTGAATGCATTTACACTGCATTCAAAACTGAGTGTCCTAAAGCAAGGAAGGTATTCTGTCAGAGGTTCCTCTGAAGAGGTGCATGGTAAAGACCTTATCCTAAGTGACAATGAGAAACACTAAATGTCATTCTGAGCTTCAAAGACTAAAACAAATGTAGTAAGGAAAAGAACAGAGCTTGGATTCAGAACAAATCAGTTTGGAGAGGAAAGGAAGATGTTTAAGTGAGTTAGGAGAGATTAGGATGAGGTTCTAGAAGATTAGAGGGGAGAGTTTACTGGTTATAAGTTTGAAACATAAAAGGGACAATCCAAAATATATTTTAGCACCTCACAGAACTATATTGATACTTGGCAATAGCAGTAAGAAGCTGAAGTATATATGGTAAAGTGGACATAAACGTTTTGTGGATGAGGAATCCAATTATTGGTTATTGATTAAACATCTGAGATTTAAATAAAACTAACTTACTTCTAAAATGAATTTCAGACACTACAATATTAAAACACATAACACAAGCTAAGTAGAAACCAAATAAGTACAGATCCAAGGCAACAAGAATGCCAGCAGTTCCCACTGCAGTGTCAGGAATGGAACTGTTTGACTTGTTTTTTAACCACAGGCATGTGTTCCTTTTACGACTTTCAAAAAATGTAAGTCAATTTTAAAAGGAACTGCTTTCAAATTTTTTAGGTGTTTCTTTTTCTTTTCTAACATATTTCTAAACAACTGCTTCTTCTTGTTTGTTTTGTTTTTTATATTTTAGGAATTATGTATTGGTTTTCTATAGCACTCACCCATCCTTTATCCTCTGCTCTCCCAACTTAGTTACATCACATTTTTTTGGTTAAACAATATTTAATTTTACATCATGACATAAGTGGTGTTCATAGATGACGACCCCTCCTTTCCTATAAACTTTTTCTATTTTTTTTCCTGGTGGAAATAAATGCCTGATTTTTCATTTGACTACATTTGTACATCTGTATTATTTTGTAGTTCTGTTATTTAACACATAGAAAGCTATTTAGATTTACTATTTCTGTTACAATATTTGAAAGCAAGTTAAAATATTTGAGAGCAATTACCTTTGTGTAGCAAGAAAAGGGGTAAATAGGCAAGGGTTTTTTTGCATATACTATTGTAATATTTGAGATTTTTAACTATCCGTATACCTTAATTTCATTAAAAATTAATATAAGCTCATTATAGAATATCTGAAAAATAGAAAGCCTAAAAAAAGAAAAATCACATTTAATGAATCTTAGAAGTAACTCTTCATACTATTGTGGTATTGTATAATATTGTATAATAAACACATAAATCAAAAAACCACATATTTCACTAAGTTAAAAACATGCTATCTATACACTATTTTGCAACCTCAGTTATCACTTGAAATTTTTTCATTAATATTTGAAATATCATTGACTATTTTCCAAAACTAATATTTTTAATGATGATACAACAATCTATTCTTTATTTTTTTTTTAATTTTTTTTCCCAATTATTTTTATTAGTTGGAGGCTAATTACTTTACAATATTGTAGTGGTTTTTGACATACATTGACATGAATCAGCCATGGATTTACATGTGTTCCCCATCCTGAACCCCCCTCCGACCTCCCTCCCCATCCCATCCCTCTGGGAACAACCTATTCTGAAGGATATCCATTAATTAAGAAAATATTTATCACCATCTAACATGACCAGATACCACTCTTCTAGGCACTTTTAAAAAAGAAAAAAAAGAAAAAGGCACGGGGCAGGGAGGAATCAATAAACCAAACATCTGACTTAGTCATTTACTTCAGATGAAGAACATGTTTGGCTCTAAGTTTCCTGGGAAACAAGGAAAAACAGTTAACTTCCCAATAAAATGTGGTACCTGCATACTATCTCATAAATTTGTGAATGAGAAATACTGAACAACAGAATGGACAATGCCTTTTTTAAACCATGATTTTGTCAAAAACATAGCAACACAATAGTTGTATTTGAAATTCTGAACTACAATATCATTCTCAGTTGAGAATGTAAAAGGTGAATTAACAAGAATTTCTTTTTCTATCAATTGGAACTGCAAATGAGTACAGAGCTTTGTAGAACATCAAAGCCTCATCCCACTTGCTATCAAAAAAAGAAAATCCCTTTGATATTCTCTAAATTTCTTTTCAGTGCAAGCATTTAATGAGTCTCAGTCTTTCCTAGGTCTTCTCTACCAGGCTAAACATTCAAAATTCTTTCAACAGTCCTTCCATTGTCGTGATCTTGCTTTGTTTTCCAAATCTCTTCCTACTGAAATTTTGTTTGACTAAGAGCTGGAAAAGTTCCTCACAAACAATGAAAACCAGTCCCAGAGATGCACAGGGCCTCATCTAGAGTTGTTTGGTGGTCAACTCATAGACCAGGGCTCTTAAATCTCAGAAAAAGTCTGTGAGGTCTAAGTCAAGGTCACATTTTTTAAAAAGGAAAAAAAAGCTAACTGTCCACTTGGCTATGCCTGGAAAATACCTTTCTTCCATTATTTACATACTCACTGACTTTAATTGGCAGCACTGTGTTTGATCGACGGGAGATACAGAAGCAAAATCAGTCTTGGCCTTGTGCAGTGTGTTATAGCGAGAGGCACAGGGCAGGACAAACCAAGGCCTCAAAGTCTTCGGAGGGAGCATAGGTCATATCGAGCTTGGGGAATCTATGAGGAAGTGTTGACTTTTGAACTGGGCCTCAACAGGGTTCAGGTTTCAAAAGACAGATAGGGAGAGGCCCTTCCCCTCCGAGGCAAGCAGCCCAGGGTGTGTGCTGGGGTCACCAGTATCCACGTTTGGCCACACGGCAGGGCATTAGGGAGAGCAGCAGGCCAGGGCCTGCCTGTGGACAACCTGGAGTCCAGCTAAGGAGTCTGGCATTCATTTAGGAGGCCTTGTGGGACTGACTTCATTGCCTCTGCTTTCTTTTTTTTTAATATCGTTACTGGGCTAAACTTTCATATGGAAGGCAATTCACTAAAAGAATAGGCCTGAGTAGTAAAGTGAAACCACCTTTCAAATGACATACATTTCATGTAAAGGAAAAAGTATGTAAATTAGCCCTAGCCCTTAATAAACTTTGAAAAAATATAGACTACCTACCTAAGATCTTTAAGAAGCATGCTAAACTGTAGCCA